CGTTCTCGTGAACCCAATCTCGTGTCTCGTCTCGTCTCGTGAGATAAGCGTCTCGTCACACCCCTATTAGGAGGCCATGATTGGCAGGGGCCAATGGGTTTTCTACTCATTCAATTCACATTTATTTGTATTGCACTTTTCACAATACATATTTCAAAACAGCTGGTTTCTACATTACAATTTAGAGTCAAAATATGTCAAAAATGTACAAATCATGCAGTTAGCTCATATCATTTATTCATTTAGACTGAAACAATGAGCTCATTAAAGCAATTATTACAAAAATATTAAACATTAAGAATATCGATCATTTAACGCATAATATGCGTTAAAATATTTATTTTTATTCGTATTTAATACATTTTATTGTTTTTTATTTAAATTTATGTAATTGTAAAATAGTAATAATGATTTTTTTGTGATTTTTCTTGTGAAACACTTTAAAGTGCCCCTTTTATGCTATTTTAAAGGTTTCTAATTTTGCTCCTACAACAAATTTACATGCATTCAAGGTCAAAAACACTTTAATTTTCTTATTATATACATTACACATCACCTAATTTCTCAAAGAGTCTGAAACGGTACTTTCGAAGATTCAGTCTCTCCAAACCCCTCCTTTCCGAGAGCTACTCTGTTCTGATTGGTCTACAGCTTACAGCGCGTGTCAGAAACCAAACACCCATTACCATATCTCAATTTCAGCTCCAGATCTTCCTCAACGTTTGATACACAGTGATACGAACAAGAACGATGGCGTCGTTTTTTCCATATCAGTTCCAGCACGAGTCCATGTCCATTTCAAATACATGCAAAGTGGATTCTCAGCACTGAAAACAGCATCTTCTCGACATGAACAACACGAACCAAACTCTTCCAGTCTCAGCTACAACTACTGTGTTTGAGGGTCAAAGTAGACGTTGTTCACGGACAGCCAATGACGACCATAGACTGGCATTATGCAAATCTGTTTAATTGTTACGTATGTTTGTAACAGAGAGAGACTGGAATTACTGACGCCTCGTTTCATCAGTTCAGAATCGATTCTTTCTTTTAGGAGACAATAACTTTATTTGCCTTGCACTTTAATTTTTAAAACTTTGAAGACCTTTAACATTCACAAACAGCGATATTTCACACTGTATGAAAGGTAATATTTAAAAAAGCATAATAGGGACACTTTAAGCTTTTAATGCTATACAAAATTAATGTATTATTATTATTATTACTATTATTAATTGTTTCCAGCTGCCCTGTGGAAAGAGGTTTCTGTGTCCACACAACCTATTAACAGCTGTTGTGTTTTCTCTCTCTCTCTCTCTCTCTCTCTCTCTCTCTCTCTCTCTCTCTCTCTCTCTCTCTCTCTCTCTCTCTCTCTCTCTCTCTCTCTCTCTCTCTCTCTCTCTCTCTCTCTCTCTCTCTCTCTCTCAGGGAGTCACAGCAGTGGCTCCACACGCAGTGACGGAGAGAAGAGAAGGGGAAGTAAAAGTGTATCTGGCAGTACGGTGGGCGGCAGCGTGCGTGACGATAAATCTCCCAGCGGGGGCGGGGCTGACTCGCGCTCTGGCAGCGGCAGCGAATCAGATTACTCGGTTCGCAGCGGCCTGAGACGAGACCACGGCTCAGCCACGCCCAGCGAACACAGTCGCTCGAGCCAGCGCTCGCATCACCGCGTCCCGTCCGCTCACCTCGCCCCGTATCCGCCTGGAATCCCAATCCCTTACAACCCGATGATGGTGATGATGGTGCCACAGCACGCACACCTAGCACTTGGAGCCCCGCACCCACAAGCCCCTGCTCTGCCGCCCCACCATGCCTTGCTGGCCTCAGGCACTCCAGGTGGTCCTCCCGGAGCTCCTCCAACCCGAGATTTGGGCTCCGTCCCACCTGAGCTCACTGCCTCCAGGCAGTCGTTCCACTTGGCCATGGGCAACCCCAGTGAGTTTTTCGTGGATGTGATGTAATGAAGGATGTGACCGTTGATGCACGGTGAAGGAATAAATGCTGAGAGGTTTGTGATCACGTGATAACTGTGAGTTCTGCTCTGTGACGGACAGAGATGTAGTTTACTGTATCAGTGCAGCTCTTTAGAGTTAGTGTTTGTTCTTGACGGTAGGAACAGGGTTTATGGAAGGGTAGGAAGTCTTGCATAGCAGACTTCAAAATCCATTTTTTTTTTTTTTTTTTTTTTTACCACAACGCGGTCTGGGCTTCTGAACGACTGTTTCGGGGTGATAAAGAATTGGCTTATTCTTTTTCCGAGTGTTGTTAGTTTTCTTTACATTTTCCCACAAATTGCTGGAAGGCCTTTGGTTAAGCTCTAAGAAAGTTTCTCAGAAAATATTTTCAAGTATGCTTTACACACCTTTAAAGTGACCAACATTAGGACATGAAATCCAAAAATATAACTTTAAATGAATAAAAGCCATGCCTTCAAAAACCTTTAAAAGGATTCAAATGTTCGAAACAGTTGATCAGATGTATCTTTTTTTTTTGCTTTTTTTTTTTTTAAGTAGTGCTTACCAAGGAATTCTGAAAGCTTTTCTCTAATGTATTATGTACTGTATGCTTTAAAGATGGCCTTTGTAAACTGTCTTTGTACTGCTGAACGGAGCCAGGGTTTATGGAAACAAATATTTGGTTGTCATTTTCAGAGATTTCAAGAATTGTTTTGGTTCCTGGTCTTAGAAAGCAGTCCCTTTCAAAGACCCTCACAAATAGGCAGACTATAAAATGGCTGTACTAAAACGGTACACACAGAGGAAGTTTTAACCTCATAAAAGGTACTTTCTGGGTAGAAGTGCTTGTTTTTTCTCTTTTTTTTTCTACTCCAGAGCTTTTTTTTTGTTGTCTCTTTGTATGGCTGATAATAATAACGCCTTTTTTATATGAGTTTATAGATATACAAGTCCAAGTATGCAAATCCTACATAACGACCGAGTCTCAATGGAATGCCATGTTTAAGTGTTAGATTTTGAACATCATCAGATACTGTCACTTTTGCATGTCTTTAATCCAAATAAATGTATGATAGAATTAACTCTGAAACTAGTCATTTATTCTCTAAGAATTGTCAAGTGTTTGATGATAATGTCTCATCTTTGTGTTTTAGTTACAATCTTTGTCCTACTGTATAACACAGGAAATCGTGTTTATATGTACAGTATATCACTACCAGTGGTGAGTTGTCCTGCTTACTCCTGGTATTAAGAAGTGTTTCATCGATCGGATCAAGTGGACAACGCTAAATACAGGTGTAAACGGGGTCTAAAACATTTTGAGCTTGTCCACTTTCCACCACTTCCAGAGGTAGTCAAAAACACATTCGACTCGATTGCTTTCGTAGTGTAAACGCTCATGTAATCGAACAGCCACAATAGACCGTCTACTCTCCACTACTGATCTAATGCGTAACGTTATCTGAAGCGCTGGCCAGAAGGGATTTAAAACTTTGTCGGCTGGAGACCCAAGTTTGGTTTGAAGAAGACAAATGTACCTACACAATGTTCTCTCATCATTCCTGATTTCTAACACTGAAGCTGCTGCTCTCCGTGTGTTTTTCTGTCATCTCCGGTCGTGTTCATATGTCAATTGCATGAGCTTATTTTGTCCATTAGATCAAAAGATCTGTAAAAGCCCACACATTCACCCGCCTATAGACCCTCCCCTCGAAGAAATCAGGACAGAAGTGTTTGAAAGTGGACAAAAGAGACGGATTAAAACACTAGGTGTAAACGGGAATGTGTCTCCCTCGTCTACTTGTGATCTGATCGACCAAAATGCATCTTTAACACCAGGAGTAAACGGGGCCTTAGAGGAAGCGAATCCCCCTTGTTCGGTTCGTTCACGATCGCCTACCAGGGTGGGTGGGTTGTCCCCTTTGGTCAGTTCGGGATCATCTTCTGTGGGGCCGATGCGGTCGCACCAGTTGCACCGCCCTAAGGATGGCCCTGATCACTACTGTATCAATGTTATATACACATATATAGTTAGAATCCCCTTAGGTGTTTGAAGTTAAAGAGTGAATCAGCTCGAAATTGAGATTTTTATTCATACAAAATTTTCCTTTCCAATGCAGCTCTCAAATGTCAGTCTCCCTCCCGCATAATCGTTTCTTAAAACTGTTTCTTTTGGATCACCAACAACACGTGCCCGAATCAGTGGCATTGTGGGTTCAGTTATGTCTGACATGTTGTGATGCTTGATGGTGCCATTTCTAAATTGATTGCAAATTAGATTTAATGAGAGAAATAACTTTTAATGGCTGTTATGGTGTGGCTCCCCCTGCCATTTGAGAGGTTTTATCACAAACTGTCATTGTATTATTATTATTATTATTTTTTTTTTTTTTTTTGAAATTCTCCTTTTGTTTTCCACTAAAAGCAAAAAACAAACAAACAAAAAAAACTTCATTTTGGAACAACATGAGGGTGAGTAAATAATATTCTTCAGAATGTGTATTTTTGGATGAAATTATAATATTTAATATATAAGCTAATATATTAGTTTAGTTTAATATAGTTGCGTCTGGAGACCCATCACTCAGTGTCACATTAATAATTATCCAGAATTTTGTATTGCTTTTTTGGGAGTTAACACACCGCCCAAATGTTGACAGGTAAGATATTATACATTTATAAATTACACTATTTGTTGGTCAAGACAGTGGTTTGATATTTTTCTATGTTGTGTTGCTGTTGTGTTCAACCGTGGAAATGTCCAATCGTTTTTTCCCTTTTAATTAAGACTGTATAAGTATGTGTATACAGAAAATTATGAACCCTAAGAAATATTCACTCGAGTAAAAAGACTGACCTATAAACGATATGACATGATTATATTATATATAATCCTCTTCTTCTAACGAAACAGGCTATATATAGTTTTGTTTGTATCCGTCTCGTTTCACTGTGTTACATAAAGGAAACTGTCTTCAGTGCATTGTAGCACCTCCCACAAAGCGTTTATACAAGCTGATCTGAGATCAGTGTTACATGACTAAAGGAAAGAGTATGCACTTCCGGTAGTCAGTAAGCTCTGCAGTGAATCGGGGAACCTCGTCGTTTGACTGGTTTTCTTATTTTGCGAGCAATTTCACACGTCATTTGAAGTGTCGAGTCGCGTCAGGAGGAGGGTCTCTGGTCTGCGGTCAAGGGCGAAATAAAACCGGTTCTGCTGCATTGTAGGACGCTCTCAGTACATAACCGAATTACCTCTAGCCGGACATTGTTCTCGCGTTGTTTCTCGGCATTTAATTACGTTTTATTTTGTCTTCGATCCGTTGGTAAGTTTGACACTTCCAATACAACAACAACAACAACAACAAAAACTGTTTGACACTTCCGCTTCACGGGAGATAAACAACGTTCGGCAAGAAATCGCATTTGGCCGGTCTTCATCATCATCATGTTACTGCGTAAAGTTACACAAAGTCCTGCGATCTGCAGCTCTGTCCTCCGTCTACAGCCAGCTTTCACAGGGTGAGACTGTTTTCTAATTCAGGTCTAACTTACAATAAAATCGTTAACTGAAGATAAAAAAAAAAATCGGATTAACAGAAACTAACTCAGTTGAACAGAGATTAAATTGAAAATAGTTTTTCTTGCATCTGATACTCTGCTTGTTTACTTGAAATCCTTTTAAACTCACCTTTTAGACATAGAGCTAACACAATTATGTGGAAAATCGGTCAATTTGACCTGAGAATGACGCCACTGGCCACTCAAAATCAAGTATTACGGGAAGTATTTCCTAAAATAGCCTCCCCATATAGACAAATTATGTAATTTAGCTTAGTTTACTGAAACTACAACTAAAACAAATTGAAAGTAAAATAGAAACCAAAAAAAATTTAATCTAGAAATCAATTTCTGTGCTTTATGTAAAATTATTTTATACATTTGTATGTTACATATTGTAAATTGTATATACAAAAATATACTTGTATATTTTATGTACAAGTATTTTAAGTAAGTATTTTATAACTTGTGTGTACTATTGAGAATCATGCAGAAGAGGTAATAACAATATATGACATATGACTGTGAGAGAAACATTTTATATCACTATTATAATATGATTATGTATGACTTTCTCTCCTTTATCAGAGTGCAGCGCCAAACTCTCGTGGCAGCGCAGAATTCTCGTCTGTATTCAAGCCAAGCTGCAGAGGTGAGACCAATCATACATCTCTATAGTGTATTCATTATTATTATTTTTTCAAACCTAGGTTATGTCACAGAGTCAGTTTAACTACTTTGTGACCAGAACAGATCATGCTGTAGTCCATCTGGTCAGGTGCCATGGAAAAAAGACAGGTGTTTGTCCTCAGACACCCATTAATATAAATCTGGAGTAAAGTTCACGTCCAGGTCACATGACTCGCGGGAGCTTTTGCCATGCGGTCTTACGTGTTATGTAAATATTGTGTTTGACCTACAGCAAATCTGATCACTGTGTGACTGAATAAATATGTAAAGACGGTGGTGAAAATATTAAATGTTATTTTTATGATTGATTCAGTATCATGCTGGTTTGTATGTTGTGTATGAGGAGTTATTGGTTTGTTTGTGTGTGAGGGAAGGTTTATAACCTAAGCGAAGGTTATGTGATGCTTGTCTTTGCTCTTTGCTCTACTTGGCAGCCTTTTTTTGTAACCATGTCAAGCCATGGAAATCTTTACATGCCACTTTGTCATATTGTCATTGAACCCTCTTAAAGGGACAGTTCACCCCAAAATGAACATTTTGTCATCATTTACTCCCAAACCTGTATGAGTGTCTTTCTTCTGTTGAACACAAAAGAAGATATTTTAAAGAATGTTGGTGAACTCGTTCTCATTTATCTAGTTAATTATTTTAGAATTACTTTAATTTAAACCAATTAAATAAGTCATTAGCAAGATTAGCCTTTTGGTTGTTCAATACTGACAAAATGTAATACTGTAGATTTCTGTGCAATTTTCTTACATGCATATAAACAAAATGATAACTTGCTCTTGTTACTTTAACCAAGGCTGTCCTGGACAAGAATGTAGTCGGCAGGGACGCCGCCACGGCAGCTGAGAAGGTTGAGAAGACGGCTCTTAATGTGGTACGTGAGTGTTACGCACACACTGCACCATTTTAGCCCTGATTTTCACTCACCGACAGTTCTGTGGAAATTGCGGACAAATGCCTGAATTCGGATGCAGATCGGTGCTCGTTCACATGAGTGACAGTCGCGTATTGTGTTTGATCTCAGTCATGCCGTGTGAAATGTGTTTTAATTGATAATTACATTGTGGTCGACCTACAGCTAATACCGTAAGAGACGAAGATACAAGGCAAGGGAATCGCACACTGTATAGTAGGTACTTCGTTTGATTTGCGACCATTAAAAAAAGTATGTTAGATATACTGTGAATATGGGTAGTATGAAAGAAATTTCTACGCACTACATTCGCCATGTTGCCATTGTCATGTCACTTGACCTCCATTCATAAATCCTCTCCCGTGGCCTCATGGGATAGTAAAGTGTCCGTCATATGCGCACTTCAGAAAGTCACCGGAAGTAGTCGGTCATCCGGGAACTTTGCGTCTACTGTTTTATGAATACTATTAAATCGGACATACTACTCCACTCACATACTGTTTTTTCGTGTACTATATAGTATGGAAGTATGCATATTCAGACGGTTATTTTTTTAATAGGCCGGCGCACAGGCAACTTGCATCATATTAACAGGAATAAATCCAGTCTCATCTTACTTTGTTTCCTGTATCAGTTTTCGCTTGTGGTTGTGAAAGGCTGTGTTTGAAATCGTCCCTTATACCCTCATTCACTATTCCCTTCATTACTCCACTAATATAGTCCACTTGAAGGAGTGAAGGAAAACGGGGAACGTGAATTCGGACACTGAGTGCGCCAGAAGCTCTGCCACTTTTGCATAGTTTGTGCTTGCTATTTAATAATCATTTGAAACTTAAAAAACTGGCAGCTCCAGTAGTAATGAAAACATTTACTTGGCTAAACAATTTAATAATCAAGTAAAACGGAAGTCATACTTCGCCGTCTTCTGGTCAGACGCGGGAATTCATTCGGCGCACGACTCTCACAGTGCATCATGGGTATTCTCTAGTTGTTGCGGTGCATTGTGGGATTGAATGAGTGCACTCGATAATGTCCACTATGGTTTTGGACACCACTACAAATGGCTGTCTATTCAAATAGTGCCCTATTTAGGGTATGGGGGCGATTTGGGACACAGCCGTAGTTTGCAGACCAGATTGTCTGCGACTCTTCCTATTGAAATGTTGTGTAATGTGTGACCCCCTGTCGACGATCTGTCCTGTAATGTGCACACAACAGAAACTAAACGGCACCCCAGGCCCAGACAGTCGTGCAGTGTGAGAAAAACAGCGATCCGACGACTTTATAAGTCGTGCAGTGCGTGCTGGATTTACACACAATGGGTCTCATTCATGAAACATTCGTAAATATATGAGTAAATATGCGAGTGATTTGCGCGTAAAGAAACCTTTCCGAAAACTCTTCTCCTGATTCACAAATACTTCGTAAACGTCAGATGTGATAGTGAAATGTGTGTGTTAATGAATTCCAATCAGTTGTAAATGGGATGCGCGTGCACGTTCATTCTCAATTACCATAAATCCCGCCCATTAAATCCGACTGACAACTAGGCTATATATGGGCATCATATTATGACATGAATGCGAATGAAAACAAAATTCTCAGATGCAGAAATTGAAGTTTTATTATCGGAAGTTCATTCAAAACGCCACATTTTATTTTCAAGCGTACATATAGTGGCGTATCGGGTCCTAAAAAAAAAGGAAGCTTGGCAGCATTACAGATGCAGTTAATGGAGTTTCATCTGTTAATCGAACATTCCCAGAAGTGAGAAGAAAATGGTTCGACATTAAGCTTGAGAGCAAAAAAACGAATTAGTTCACTTCGGAAAAATAGTATTCAAACTGGAGAAGGACCACCATCGCAGATGCTATTACTGGCTCTCATAATAAGAAAAACCGTATGTAATTACTATATATAATATTTTTTCAAAATGCTGTGTAAATATGTACCCGATTAAGGTGAATTAAAATGCAGCCTTATTAATGAGCAAAACGTTCGGGTGTTAAGCGCACTATTTAAGCGTGGCTGGGAGCAGGTGTAGATTTCTTTCGTACCAACTAACATTTGGAAAATACGAACATTTTAATGAATCCGAAAATTTACGCCAGAACCACTTTACACACGATTTACACACAAATTCGTTCTGCTCGTGTTTCATGAATGAGACCCAATGGGCATTTACTCTTTGCATTGATTTGACAGTCAAACTTATGATAACTGCAAATGCTACTTTTTATCGTCTTGAGATATTTTCAGAAGAGTTAAGACAAATGTGATGCCACATTCTTTCATAGAATATAGAGGTAGTGTTATTTTATTATGAAAGTCTCATAACTCTCTTTTTTTTTTTTCTCAGGAGTCAAAATCTTTTGCTGTGAACATGTTTAAAGGGCAAATCAGCACTTCTCAGGTGTTCCCCTTCCCCTCAGGTGACTCCCAAGTTTTCTTTTCCTGCAACTAAAGATATTTTAGATGGGGTCGCTTTGATATCGCCACCGGATTTTATATTTGCCCAAATTGGAAAATGTTGAATTAAACTGATTATTGTTTTTAGCATTGCTTTCAGGCTTTGTTGTACTGTTGTTATTCATTATACTCACACTTCAGTGTGTTTACTGTTATTTCTGTCCTGAATGTTTTTTCATCCACCCCTGTAGTGCTCAATGAGGAGCAGGCGCAGTTCCTCAATGAGTTGGTGGGGCCGTGCAGTAAGTTTTTTGAAGTAAGTTTAATTCACCTACATTTCTGCTTTAGAATCATTTTGTTTTATAGACCGATTTCCTTAAATTCTTGATAGCACATAGCATTGAAAACTCAATGAGCACAAATCTTGCTTAAAGCTTAAATCTTGATGAAGCGAGGCAATATTGATACATTCCACCTTCCATCCAGTAATGAAACGAGTCATTGAAGCTTTCATTCAAACCAATTTTTGTAAATATCATTCAAGTTAACTAAACATTTAAATAGACTGCATCAATTAAAGGTGCTCTATGTAACTTTTCTACTAAAATGAATCCTTTTTTTATTGCCTGTGTGTGAAGGGGTTGTAATCACACATTAAAATGATCCACTTGTCGAGTTTTGCTATTACCTCTGAAGGCCAGTATTCCTATTTCTATGTGAAGTCTCCGGGTCGGATTTACCGCGAAATCCAACGGATGTGACGTGCATGCGCGTTCCCGAGCCTCTCTCCTTATATACAGTCTATTGTAGACGGTCAGGGAGTTACGTCCGGTTAAAGGCGCACGTTTTTCGGCTTATATCTCAGTCAATCTTTGATCAATATTCCCAAGACTCTAATAGTTCGTAGTGCTGGACGGGGCCTTTCGAACGAGCCCACCCCCGAGGTCCAACTCGCCCGGCTCCCCGAGTTATAGCCGTTCGAAATCGGGGGTCCCAGCGAACGGCGATCCGGTAGGGGGCATCCCCGAGGCCCGCCACTCTAGCGTTCGGGCAAGGGTTCCCCTGGGACCTCCTCCCCCGAATTTGAGCTCTCTGGGTCTTTGCGTTCCAGAGATACGAGCGATTTTCTTCAAAGATCGTGATGTCACCGGCGTCCGCAATTTTGCAGCGCGCCTGATGGTTTTCTGCTAATATCTCCGCGAAAACACCACCAAAAACTATGGAACTTATATGGTTCTTTTCAGCTCGACAAGATGGTCCCGACGAGCTCGGTGCTCGCCGAATCCGTCAAGTATTCGCCGAGATATTTGCGTAATGGACGGTATTGTCTATGAGTTCGAGCACGAGCGCTCTTGTAAAATTTGGTTGCAATCTGAAACATCACCACTAGAGGCCGCTAAAAGTTACATAGAGCACCTTTAACATTTTGTCAGAACCTCGAGTAAATTGTTATTTTCTTTAGTTGTCTGTTCAGAATCGTGATATCTTGATGGCGTTTGAATCTTAATTCTCAATTTGTCCAGAATCATGCAGCTCTAAATGATAAAAATAAATGTCTCCTGATCAGCAAATGTAATGATGCTGAAAATTCAGCTTTGATCAAAAGAGTAAATTACATTTTATACACTATATACACCATTTACTATATACACACTCACACATACATGCATACAGAATTATAATAGCATTTGTTGTTGTGATAGACAGTTTATTTATTTATTTATTGTTTATTTGAAAAGGGACAGATACAAAAAAAACATAGATTATTACATAAAGAACAATCCGATGCCTGTATCACAGTGTTTATAGCCAAGGCTAATTCGCAACACCTGTCCCTAGAAGGGCTTTTAACAGTTAGGATAATAAAGGAGTAAAAAAATGACAGTGAATACAATAAAATGTCCAGAAACCAGTTAGCACCAATAAAATTAGTAAATAAACACATTCACTCGAACTTACACAGATGCACACCTCACATACACACGGATATTAATTTCATATGGCATGATCACACTGCTGCTGCTGTATGAACCAGGCTTTTGTTAGTTTTTTAATGGTGGATAGTTTAGTTAAAATCTTTATATTTGTAGGAAGCCAGTTCCACAGATTGGCTCCTTTCACTGAAAAAACATTTTGGGCAAAATAAGTTTTAAAAAAGTTATTAGAAAAATGACAGAACCAGTTTGCCATGGAAGAATACTGTACCGGGAACTGGGAGTTTAGTGTAAATGCATAGGCAGTCGGCATGGGTAGAGTCTTTTCACCTTCTTTGCAATGTGCCGTTGTGGGTTTCCAGGAGGTGAACGACCCCATGAAGAATGACGCTCTGGAGATGGTGGAGGAACGCACGATGGAAGGCCTGAAGGAGATGGGAGCTTTTGGTCTTCAGGTGCCCGCAGATCTCGGTGGCGTTGGCCTCACCAACACACAGGTAAGATCACCGATCCATCTGTGCAGATACATGAACTAGCAGAAGCCTAGCGATGCACATGAATTTGCTGCTCTTTTTGCAGTACGCCAGGCTGGTGGAGATTGTCGGGATGCATGATCTGGGTGTGGGCATCACTCTTGGCGCCCATCAGTCCATTGGCTTCAAGGGCATCCTGCTGTTTGGTAACCCCCAGCAGAAAGAGAAGTACCTCCCAAAGCTGGCCACTGGTGAGTGGGATTTAGTATAGTGTAAAGAGCACACACTGCTTCAAAGTAGTAGGATTGACTTTAACTTAGCATATCTTAGAGCTGCACGATTAATCGTTTAAAGATTCATATTATCAGATAAGTACTAGGATAAAATGTTTTAGTTTGGATGTAAACGCTGATGTCTATGGAAGTGATCAAAATAGAGAAAATCCCTTTGTCCTCTTCAATTAACGATTGTATCATTACATTGTTACATTCAGTCAAGAGAATCATTCAAAAACACTGATTCATCCAGTAATGAACCAAGTGAGTCATTGAATCATTCATTCAAACCGATATTTTTTAAATAGTTCATTCAGATTGATAATAATAATATTACATGTTATTTTGTTTAGATGTCGTTCAGAATCGTGGAAAAATTGTGATTACTGTTTTATATATATTTATATATTTATCATTATTCGTGCAGTTCTAGCATATATTTTAGGAATAGTCATATCATGATTGTGAAAAATTGTGCGACTAGGATTTAAAAGTTGTTTATGTTTAATGCACATCATAAAATGCATGACTTTTCTTTAAAGCATTGTAAACAAATATTGTGCATGAATTTTATGTTCATGTTTACATACAGTAGTGGCCAAAAGTGAAAATTTACATCACCATTTATTCAAATATTATAAAAAAAAAAATCTTTTTTTTTGCATAGTTGTGCTTGGAGTCAATTGTTTTATTGATGATAACACAATGAAAAATGCCAAATTGTGCGGGCCTCGTTTTTGGCAAGACTGACTTACAAAGAAATTCTGAACACATACAAAAATGAGAGAACCAACAAAATATTCATAACTGATTATGTACTAGTCAAAATGTATGCATTTTCTTGTTTTTGCAATTTTTTACATGTGAAACAAAACCTGTATCTGTAGTTTGCCTTTTTTGCCAAATAATTTTATCAAATTAATACCTTAACCAAGTTTAGTATTTTGTTCTTGCCTCATATTTAAAAAACAATATATTTTCCTCACATTTTGATGGTTTAGTTGAACTTTTAGGGACATTTAAAAACAAATATCCCCTCCAGACATCACTTTTGCATTTTTTTTTTTTTTTTTTTTTTGGCATCACTGCATTTACAAATGTTTAAAATATGTCTGTTTGGGTCTATTGTCTTTAGCCTTAGTTCACTGTCAATTTTGTTTTTAGAAATGTAAGCCTAAATGACGACCACTAATCTGAATATTGTCTGTAGTTGTTGAATGTTAACTCTGTGCTGTGTGTTTCTGGCAGGAGAGAACATTGCTGCCTTCTGTCTCACTGAACCAGCGAGCGGTTCTGATGCAGCCTCCATTAAAACCACTGCAGTTCGCTCACCCTGCGGCCAGTACTACGACCTGAGTGGAAGCAAGATCTGGATCAGGTGTGTGTGGGGTCTTATCATTAACATATACAAATGGCAACAGGCATGATGTAGACACAGATATCTCAGAAAGAGATACACACACATGTTTTGTGGCCACTAGGGGGCATCACCACTGAACATATCACTGGCGGGTCTATGTCCAGTTAAAAATGGTTGGATGATGTCACCTTACTTTTAATCTCCTCTGTCAGTTGTACAGTCATTAATTTCTGTGTTTCTTGGCACTGGGCTGTTTGTGTGCTTGTGGGGGGTTTTCTTATCTTGGTATGACAATGCAATTTCTGTATCAAGGATATCTGTATCTTTGTGTTGCTCATTGAAGTCTAGGAACAACCCAAGAACGTTTACAGTGCATTTTAGCATATGAGTAACTAAATATACTAAGTTTAGAAGTGTGAAGAACTGTTATAATTACTGGAGCTTAGCAAGCCTTTGTATTGCTCATACTTGGGGCTAGGGGGATTTTCTAAACCTCTTACTGTATTTAATGAACATTTACACGCTCGTCCTAAATTGTTATTATATTGCAGGGGTCTTCAATAGAGAGTCAATTATTTTTTGATCTCAAAGTAGTTTTTTTTTTTTTTTAAAGGGAAAAAAAGAAAATTGAATAGAAAAGTAATAGAAAATGCATTAACGCATTTTGAAAAAAAAAAAAAAAAGTAATATATTAACTTCAACCAAAGCTAGAAGACGTTAAAGTTCAGTTGTTTCAGAAGTTTCATTAATATAAAATGGTTAAAAAAATCAAATAGATTCATCCAAAAACTAAACTCGTGTAGATAAGATATTCATATGCCTGTATATAAATCATGGAATATTTAATTATCCTTATTTTAACTGAATGATTTCACTCAATTAGCCCTACAGGTTGTAATTAATAGTGAAGATGTCAGTCTGTTATCTTATTAAGGAATAACCCCATGAATTACAATAAGAATAATACTAGTAACAACATGCCATTTGAGGCCTTCTTTTTTTTTTACTCCAACATTGTGTCCACAAAGACACAAAAAATTATATTTATCATAACACAGTGTTAACCAAACTATATAGGTTAATCTTAACTGTTTCGACTGAATACATTGTTGATATTAAGATTAATTGACACAATTATAAATTCAGTAAATGTGTTGAGATGAGACTTGTGCCATCTATGGTCAGAGAAATAATTAAGGTTAGGTTGTGACATTAAAATGATACTATATGCATATATTATATTTGAGGCTTAGAATGTGCACTTTTATTCACAGACTGTGATCAACATAGCAAATCTAGTAGCGTTTTTCATATTTTTAATAAAAAAAAATATATAAATGTATAACTTTCTGTTACATTACTTTGGCAGTAAATGACAAAAAACGAATGAACATTTCTGCAACTAATACAACGACTGATGGAGTGATGGCAAATTTGACATCTTTCTTTCTCCTGACCAATGTTCTCAATCTCCCTGTATTATTGTGTTCCCTCTTTTGGAAAGTCGTGGAAATGCTATCACGGGTTTTCGTTCCTTTTGCTATTGGAGCAAATGGGAATACAAAAATGATATTTGCTGTCATCTCCCGTTCACCTCTACGTGTATAAGTTTAAATCATTTTTTTTTTGAAGTATTGATAATTGTGAAATTTCACTGATATTTTAAATGACTCATATCGTGAAATAAGACTTTGGTCATATCGCCCACCAATAATCGTGGTAAATAATTATTAACGATTTAGATTTTTGCCATAATCGAGCAGCCCTAGTATCTTTCAATGCACTAAGGCCTGAAAAAGGTATGTATATTAGAAATTGTTAATAATAAGCATGTTCTATTAAACCTCTTCTGTTCCTAGTAATGGAGGCATTGCTGAGATCTTCACTGTGTTTGCGAAGACTCCTGTGAAGGACGAGAAGACTGGAGAGATGAAGGACAAAATCACAGCGTTCATCGTGGAGAGGAGCTTTGGAGGAGTCACACAGTTAGTGCTTCCCCCCCCCCAACACCATCATATTTCTAATAAGTCGAGTTTTGTTTTGACATTCTCGTTGACCGTTGTCTCTTTCTCAACTCATTTCACCTAAATCATCTCTTTTTCTCTCTTTCTCTCTCTCTCTCTCTCAGCGGTCCTCCTGAGAAGAAGATGGGTATCAAGGCGTCCAACACGGCAGAGGTGTATTTCGAGAACGTGCGCGTCCCTGCGGACTGTGTTCTGGGAGAAGTTGGAGGTGGCTTTAAAGTGGCCATGAACATCCTCAACAACGGGCGCTTCGGGATGGCCGCCGCCCTCTCTGGCACCATGAAGGGTGTCATCAGCAAAGCGGTGCGTATATGTGTGCTCAAGTGCACGTTTATCAGACGCTTGCTCTGTTTGTGAGCTGTTGCCATGTAATGATGAACGGAGTTTTTCTAAGCTTTCTTTTTCGTTTCCTCTTCTCTCACCTAGTTTGTCTAGCATGCTGTTTTGTTAGCGCCGATGTTAGGCCACATCCTCCCATCCGCCGACACCCCTATCATCCTCACTTCCTCTACTTAATATGCAGGGAAATTCCTCTTTATGCATTGCACTGTCCTCGTGCTGAGCGGCATCTGAGCTGGTGTTGGCTCAAGCTGATTTGTGAAAGTTCCTGTGCAACTAATAAAAAAAAGAAAGCATTTGCCAAATGCAGAAATGCAAATGAAACTTCTGCTCAAATTTAGTCATTCCTGGTTTTATTTTAATATAAATCAATATATACCAAAACAGGATGCTGGAACACTTATTGCACTTATAGCAATATGTTCTCATATTGAAGCTTGAGTGATTGTGGGCTACAGCAGTTTTTCTCGCTGAGGGAGGGGTGGATTTCTCAACAGCCCTGCTTTTTTCTCTTACCACAGGCGTTTGTGTTTGTGTATCCGTGTCAGACCAGGAACTTTTGAAAGCGGAAACCAAGCGTAGTCCTTATCCACTGCGTTACACTCACCCTGTGGGCCTTCAGTTACTTTGTTTTTTAGGTCATATTCAACAAAGCAAGAGTCAGAGTCGCAGTGCAATACTGAAAACTGTATTCTAGTGGTACTTGATGCTCTTTCACATATTTGCATGTATATTTGCAGTCTCGTTTTTGCACCATCAATGCATTTAGATGTATTTCCCTCAATAACTCCAGCATATGTGTGACCCTGAAACACAAAACCAGTCACAAGTCGCACGGGTATATTTGTAATACATTAAATGGGATAAAATTATACATTTTTCTTTTATGCCAAAAATCATTAGGATAGTAAAGATCGTGTTCCGTGAAGATATTTAGTAAATTTCCTACCGTAAATATATAAAACATTTATTTTTGTGAGTGAATGCAGCAAAATCGCGAACATAAATGCACAACTTTAAAGGCGATTTTCTCAATTTTTTTTGCACCCTCAGATTTCAGATTTTCAAATAGTTGTATCTCGGCCAAATATTGTCCTATCCCAACAAACAAAACATCAATGGAAAACTTATTTATTCAGCTTATATATACATTTCAGATTATGTATCTCAATTGAAAAAAATTTACCCATGTGATAGGCCTGGACCCGAATATTCGAATATTTGAATATTCGTTCGGTGGGTTGGTATTCGATTTGAAAATGTGACATTCGAATATTCGATGTTTTTTTTGCACACCTGGCATCCCCCTCGAAACGGTTCTCATTCACGCTTGAATATGTTTCACTCTATAAAATCTGGTGAAATATAATACTTAACATACAACTTCATTATAGCTACTTGCTTCTTCTTGGACTACTAAAAGTGTTCCTGCAACGGGAGTATTATCTGGCTAGAGCGCAGAACAGCGGAGTTTAAATGACCTTGTTCTGTTTACAGTTTGTTTAATTCTATATAAGGGACTTTTTTATTTTTATTTAAACTGTTCCTTATGAAATGTGTGATGTTGTTATTGAAAATGCTATTGCTACCGTGTTCTTTATTTAGGCTATTACAGTTCATTCATTTATTTTTTGTTTTTCTTTATTTAAATTTCGTTTTTCTTTATTTAAATTTCATTTTTCTTTATTTAAATTTCTTTTGTATTTTTTATTTATTTAAATCTACCCTACTTTGTCAGAGAGAAAAATATTATAAGACTATACCTTATTAAAAATATTGCTTAAGTTAAAAGACGTGTGTGTGTTTTATATCACTAGTGCAGTTTCCATTCTCAGAGCATATAAGCTCTGCTCGCGTGAGGCGCGCCGCTTCTTTATTTAAATCTACCCTACTTTGTCAGTAATTTGTTAGTGAGAAAAATATTAGACTACCTTATTAAAAATATTGCTTACAGACCTGTGTGTGTGTTTTATATCACTAGTGCAGTGTCCATTCTCGGAGCATATAAGCTCTGCTCGCGTGAGGCGCACCGCTTCCCGCTCGTGCTGTTCTGTAGTTTATTAAAAGTTTATTCATTCTGAACGTGTCGCATCTCGCCTGTCTATCTATATTGCACCAAAAACGACACTGCACTCCTTGTGAAGTCGTTTGGATGAACAGTTCTCGAAATAATCAAAATGCAAACGGACAGACAGACATATAGAGATTCCGAAGCTTCGAATATTCGATGTTCATTACTACCGAAGCTTCGAAGCTCAAAAAATGGTATTCGGACCAGCCCTACCATGTGACTGGTTTTGTGGTCCAGGGTCACATATATGAGAGTTTTTTTGCACATACGGTTTCAGTGAAATCGTCATTTTCATGCTGTTATTTCCACACCTTACCTATTTATTTTGAGGAGTTCACCAGTTAGCCAAATACAATCTCTATATTTCCCGTTTTTTCTCTCACCCAGGTCGACCATGCTGCTAACCGGACTCAATTTGGCAACAAGATTTCCAACTATGGTGCCATTCAGGAGAAGATGGCCAGAATGGCCATGCTTCATTATGTGACAGAGGTGAGCTTCTCTACTGCTTTGCCTCCACTTTCCCATCAGGCAACAAGAAAATCTGAGTCACACTTGAGCACTTACTGACATCTATTTATAGACTTGAACTAATATAGCTTTTGTTTGATCAAATACATTTAAAGTTTCCCTATTAGTCGTTATAGCGGCCGGCTACTCAATCCAATGATGAAACCGCTGAGAGACTAAGACAGGGACTCTATGCTCTTGTGACGCATGAATAAAACATCTGTGAGGAAAAATATCTTTTACTAGCAATTCTTTATTGGACAGACTGATGTTTGGTTTCGACATCCACTTCATAAAGCATGAGGACTCAAGCTGGAATTGATACGGAAAAAATCAACAGTGTCGTTCTTGTTCGCTTCGCTGTGTATCAAACGCTGAGGAAGATGCTATGTATATTATATTATTAAATGTTTTTTTTTTTTTTTTACTTGGTTGCATGTAAGTCTATTATATTGGCGAAAGCCGAGTACAAATCAGCATGAAGTTTTAACATCTACTCTCGTGTAATGGAAATCATTTTTCTTATAATTATTGACCTCTAAGACAAAATGAGGAACCTTTAAAATAGCATAATAGGGCACTTT